AGATTCTTATTTTGTAGTTAACACACACACACACACACACACCCCCCTCCAAACTTTTAAACACTAGTAGGAAGTATTAGGGATTCATCACAGCACAGATAAAAAGGGAGGATAGAGAATAATAATCTTACACCAGAAATAGTTCAGCCAAGGAGGGATTGTAGCACTGGAATGTTGAAATGAACTAAAGACGATGTAAAATATTGGAAAGAGAAGACAGTCAAAACAAGCTAACTGAACATTTTTGATTATAAAGTACTAGACACGTGGCACTGATATTGCAAGGTAGAGCAAATGCACAATAATACTTTTTATCAGCCAAAAGTAATATTAAATAACCATATTTATTAATTTTCAAGTATCAAATAGCAGTTATCAAAGACTCTTGTTATTTGAAATAGCAACTGAACACGAGTGTGACTTCAAACAATCAACTTCACATATGCCTAGGCCAAAATAAATTATTCTGTGTTTATCTGAGACTGAGTTTGGATTTATATTGGTCACATCTTCCTTTTTACCCCAAAACCACCTCTAAAGCTTTCCTAAGAAACCTTCATTTCATGTATCAAAATACTGCAGCCAAATAGAACATGGCTGTTTGTGTACAGGTGACTGGACATAACTCAAAATAAAATTCTGGCTTTTTTACAGTGATCCAATACACTCTGGAAAATGGTTCAGAAACAGTTCCCCTTAGACTGAGATAAACAACTGGATAAACAAGGTTGTACTGTATAATGATCATCAGTGGCTTCAGACAGCATAAATGGACTGTTTCCTTTTCTGTGCATTGCATTCAAGTTATTAGATAATACTGGAAGAGCCTGAAAAGTTTCATTTGTGATAAATGTTTGACACACAAATCAGCTGAAGTTGTAGTCATTAACTAATGAAGGTGCAACTAATGAATCAAATGTAGACAAATAAAATATGAATATAATTTGGTAAGTTTGAAACTTTTTGAAGATTGGAAGATACAATTGAAACAGACAATGCAGAACCTATTTGTATTCTGTTACTTCTGCACCCTGAAGTTGCCCTGAAATCATTCAGAAATATTTGGGTATATATTGGCCATTCTGACACGTCATTCCCTGAGTCTGAGATATGCAATAGCTGAATTGCAAGAATGGCAGCAGATATATACAGTAAGAAAAGTTGGTCACAAGCAGAGAGCCAACCTTTATTCAGCTTCAAGTTGTGGTATGGACTGCATACAGTTGTATCCGTCTGCCAGCACAGGATGCTGCTAGATAAGTTTCCCTTCTCTCACATCCTCTTAAATGAGGACTGGAAACTCTGGAGAAGGTGCAATGGGGGAAGAACACCAAAAACTATTGCATGAGCAGAAAGTATGTGCCTGGGAGTCTGAAATAACTACAAAGTTTATTTTGTCAACTGAAAAAAGACATCAAATAAAAATATATATTTTGTTTCTAATGCAGGAGGGTCTTAAGTAAATCGGGGGCTGGGGGCTTTCACAAATGTTTTGAGTTTGCCCATTCAAAAGCCGGACAATGGTTGATGAAGGGGAGAGCTGCAAATTACAAGGCCAGGAGGAGGTAGGCTGGTACGTATACCACAGCCACTGGAAGAAAAGGAAGACTGCAAATAACAGACAGACAGCTGAAAAAGCCTGACTGGGGGGCAGAGGGAGGCCAAGCAGAAAGCAGCCCCAGCCCAGAAGATCATGCTAAGATAGTCAGGCTGGGGATGGGGGATGGGGAGCCATGCATTTTACTAGTTGAGAGGAGAAAGGCAGACAGGTAGGCTTGCCCAGAGCCAGGCCCAAAGCCAGAACAGGGACAGCCTCTGTGAGCAGGATGAAGGACATCAGAGCAGGAAGACCCCAGAGGCTGGTGTTTCAGGAGACAGCACTGGAACCATGGAGTGCCTCAGTGGACTGCTGCTTCCCTCCAGCCTTTACAAGCTTATATGCTCTCTTCCAGAAGAATACCAGGAAAAACCTGGCAATCAGGGGGAAAGGAAGTTCAATGATGCAGCTGCTGGTTTGTGAAGACAGAATGAGACTTGGGATCTCTTTCGAATTTCTAACCCCAGGCCAGTTTGAACTGTTGTCAAAGCACTCTTACTCTGCCTGGACAAGTCAGTAGCCACACCATAGGCAGTTTAATTGTCTGGCAAGGGAGGTGGGCAGAGTACGCACAAAAGACTGGATATGTGAGAGAGCAGGAAACACCCTTTACAGCTCCTCTACTTGTTGGACTCCTCATTGCAGAAGAGCTGTGACCAGAAAGCCCTGATGCCATGACCAAGAGACAGAGGATGGAGAACCAAACCTTTCCGTTACAAAAGAAGCCTTGTTTTATTGGTATGGCAGTAACCTGAGTTCCCATGGTCCATATGGGCTGTTCTTCCCTGAATTCAATCCCCTGCCCCATGGTGCAGACACTCTTATCAGTCAGATGATGCATATCTGGGCATGCTTCTTGGGAACAGAGCACCTAAAAGCACTCAAAGACTCAGCACCACTGTGCCTAGACAAGTTGGCAGCAGAACTGAGTTCTGATCAGGTCCTGACTTTGTGTGCAGCTGATGCTAAACTAGTAGCACAATTACTACTAGCGAGGAGGAGCTCAATGGTTTTATTCATGGGAGTGGTGTCACACAAATTCATTTATCATTTTAGGGGGTCACAATATCACAAAGTCTGAGAACTCATGCCCTAATGAGGTAGGACCACCAAAAATTCTTAGATGTAAGCAAATCTTTAATAGAGCAAAACTTAACCCTCTTTTAATAATAATTAAGAAAACTCTCTTTGCATCGTTGTTCATTTAATTAAAGATTAAATTTACTTAATACTAGATCTCTCTGTTCCAATGAAATAAATAGGACAATTTTCCAATTAAGAATTCATGGGACTAAAAGTTAAAATAGAACAGCATGTTATATTTAAGAATAATTCCAATATATCAGTTAACCTGTTAAAAGGCTAGCTGTAGTGATGGGTTTTATGAAGTTGTTTTTTCCTGTTTAATGACAAGTTAAGAATCCATTATACAAATAACATTCATGCACTTGAATATCCATCGGAAGAGTATATAGAACCAGCCATATATTCCAAGAGCGCTATTTTTCTATCAGCCAAAAGTCAAACTGGTTTTAGTTTCAGGAGCCAACAGCTGTGATCATCTGAATCTTTTACAGAATGTGCAAGCCTATTAGTGGGACTTTATTTTTATTTTCTACAGCTGTCCAAGACTTTGAAGAGGCACATATTCTCCCTTATAAATTAGGGCAAAAAAACAGTCAACTAAAAGGAATTTCTGCATCCTAAGTAGTTTTATTTTAAATTATCCACAGATATCTCCTGTATAAAACTTACATAATGGCAAAATAAATTTAAGGCCTTATATTTTTTCTCTTTCAATCAAATATGGCTTTTATATCATGTGAATATATTATTATTCTCAGCCATATCCTAGTTTCTATGAGACTCTCTGGTGTCAGAAAGATCTATGAAGTTAGTAACAGTAACTAAAAGATTCTCCCTCTTTATCTCAAATTATTCCATTGGTTTTTTTTAATAGTATTCTGATGCCTGTAACTGTCAAAGGAATGATTGAGAAGTATTTTAACATAGATAAGTCTTACCTTCCATATCAGCTCTAGGTCATCTCTAATATAAATTATCAGAACTGCCCGTTGATTTGAGAAAAATAAATATAGGCTATACTTTGGTTTGCTTTAATCAACTAATGTCTAATATTTACTGTTTGAATTTGTTCATAAACATTATAGCAAATGCCCAGTGTTCACAAAGGGTCTATCAAAGAGACATCAATAAAATTGTTATGGGCTATTGAACTTAAAAAAAAACAAAACTGATGCAGACAGTAGCCCCATAGATAAGCAAAGGTAGGCAAAGAAAAAGTATGTGCCACATTCAGTTTTCAAAAAAAAACCCTACACAGTAAAGATTTGCTATTGCCCTATGTATGAAAGTTCTTCCTTTCACAGTCATTAAAATAAGAATATTAAAATGTAAACATAGAGGAATATCTGTTTTTTTTAACTAGAAATAGATCCATATTACGTTTTTTAAAAAAATCTATAAAAATATCCTTCATAGCGTCTCCATGGTTGGGAAATGAATTCGGACACTAATGTTCATGATCCAATACAAAAACTGAACGATTTTACAATTGCACCATGGAGCTTTGGGCTCATTTAAAGCACTTACTAAATTGAAATCTCAATACTTGTGCAAAAACAAAAAACTGTTTGTTTTGGAAATCTGAAAGGCACGACCAAGATTCAGAAGGATTTTAAAGCTTGAAAAACTTCTTCACCAATTCAAGCATATCCTCATATGACAGCTCCACTTCCCCATAAAAATGGACAAGTAACTCCTGAAGCACAAAAATGAATGGCATGCTAAAGCTTAGGAGTTCATACAAGTAGGTATAGTTGTATGCATTGTCCCTGAAATGAAGTCTGGTTGCGTGCAGGAAACCATGCATCCAGTTAGAGAGGCGTCTTGGAAGATCAAGCAGATCCCTGGTCACCTTAAGAGGCCAGCATAGAGTTTTCCCAAAGAATGAAGACAGGATACCTGGCGATGGGTCTTCTGAGCTGCTACTAGTAGCAAAAGCACTTTCTGAGCTAGTTTCTTCACACATGGGTTCTTGATGCCTCTGTAATCCTGCTTCCTCCTTTAAAGAGAAATAGATTAACATGATGCCCATGTTCATTATTTCAAATATTAAAATTATGTATTTATTGTCCATATTTCTACTGCGTCACAAACCAGAGACTTTCTGGATTGCAAAATATTTCTTTGCCAGAAGTTTTGGGTGATCTCCTTCAAAATACAATTTACTTTGTATCAATGCTTCAAACTAGAAAAGACGTCACCATGATGTCCAAGCAACTCCAAAATAAGTAAGACAGTATTTTTCATTGACTTCAAGTTATAAAGAGATGACAATTTCAGAATCAAGGTAGACATAAAGGTCACGTATCACTTCCTTTCCCTGGTGTGTCCTTTCAAAAACTTTAATAAAAAGCAGCCTCAGAGAGGCTGCAAGAAAGAGAGGACAAGAATGCAAAGGACACTTAATGCTTTCTCATCTTGATAAACAGTAAAATTAGCAGCCTAGGGAAGGCAAATATGCAACTGAGGTTACTTTCTTTCTTGCTTATCAACAACGTGGATTGTATTTTCCAGTCTAAACCCACAAAAGTTGCATGTCTGAACTTTTGTGATAAAAGGTACACCTTTTTCAGATTGAAAAGAAGTAAGAATGTATTTTGATATAAATAGGCTAGGAAAATAATGCAGTTGAGCTAGTTAAACTAATAGAACATCAGAAATCTCATTTGCACTTTGAAGTCCAAAGAATAATCATTTGCAATTCTTACATATTCCCAGCAACTTCCCTTCTGTTTATCACAGAAAGATATACTTTGATATAAATGTTTTAAAGCTAGGGTGGCTCACAGCCTCTTTGAAAGTAGTCAGTTCAATTTCTGCTAAGAGTGACAACATCTTTTCCCCAGCAGTGTGCTGCGTGGGAAGGAAGGTCTGAGGCAGAAAAAAGGAATTGGGTGGCCCACCACCTTTAGCTCTGGCCCTTCCTACTGCTTGTTTTAACTCTTCATCCCAATCAGCACACTGCCCATAACAGCTACTTCCAAAGGAATATGGCCCCTACTGAGAAAAGGTTATGTATCCTATTTTAAAAGTAGATCTATTAAAAGGTACAGGGTCAACGTGTTAGAAGCCAACTAACTTTACAGAGCAAAAACAATGCACACCTTTGTTTTCATTCTTGGATATCCAGTGATCACTCCCATGTGATTCAAATGCCAAAGAAGTCTCTGTTAGACTAACAGGGTGAGGTTTATTTCCTTCTTATGTACTACTTCCAATGAGCTAGAATTTGTCTCCTTATAACCTTCCCACCCTCTGTCATACTTTTGCAAACTAGTAGAAATATATATACCTTTATCTCGGCTCTCTTCTTTCTGTGCATATTCTTTTTTTTACATTGTGCAAAATGAAGCTTGCAGTAAAAATTACCTAAAAAATAAAAGGAATGGCATCAGGTTTTGCTTTCCCCCTCCCCTCCCCTCCCCCATGCAATCTGCCAATTAGTAGATCTGACAGATGGAATGGGGGAATGTAAAGGTGGTATACATTCAAATTTAAGTGACTTTAGGTGAGTTTGTTTACAACATTTTTAAAGCAGTGCTTTTATTAAAGAAAAATTCTTTACATGAAGTTTATTTCCTTATTCTACCAACTTGAATGGTCTTATCTTGGGATACTCAAGCCTCGGCAAAAGTGGCTAAAATCCCATACATGGTATTTTTGTTTTTGATAATGAAGATGGTATCCTTGCTTGGTTTCATATCAAACCCTCCATCACCTTTTCGTTTAATCTTATTATCTATGAACAGTAGAAACATATGCTTAGTGTACGTCATACTGGCACCAATAGATTTTAGACCTACATTACCTTCTTCTGCATCAAAGGTATAGGTTGCTAGGCGGAGAGTTGTCGCACATATGACACATTTGAAGCATTCTCGGTGGAAGAAGTGGCCTTCTGCGCTCAAACGTTCCATGACATAAACTCTTTTCTTACAGAAATAGCAGATATCACTCCCACCTATTGTCTGAGGAAATTCTCTTTTCAAAGACGCCTGCTAAAAAAATTAAAATATATTGATAATATCTATATAATGTTCCTATAACTGCTTGATTAATTGCACCACCAAGAAGTTCTTTAAGGAGGAAAACGAAGAGTTTCCTTTTGATCTGGTTGATAATGATTTTTGTTACTTATGTATTTTTAATCAGAGCTGTTTTATGTCATTTTGTATTTTCTTCCCTGTTAGCCACCTTCTGCATCCTGGGAATACACATTTAAAATAGTACAATATCATAGCAAAATATGTGTTTAGTTGGCTATGCTTAGACTGCTGCCAAACGAAGGGAAGAGTCATCCAGTAGCTCTCATGGCTAAAAGGTTCTGCAGGCTTTCCATGATACGTGCTGTGAGCTGCCCAAAAAGCCCACTTGGAGTCAGCTAGGGCTAGGGCTAAGGCCTTGACAGCAGAAAAGCCAAAAACACTGGAATTAACTCCTACAACCAGTCTAATCAGCCTCATTGTCATGTTGCAAGAAAAATCTTAAAACATACTTTTATTTTCCTGTTTTCCCTCCACAGTAATTTGCTGGCAGATTTTAATTGCTGATGCCATGTATTTTTTATGTATATTCCGCTATTTCCTGGCTTATTGTTTTGATGTTTTAAGTTTATGATGCTTGTTCATGATGTTAGGTGGCTTTATTAGTATTTTGAGGTTTTTAAAATTCATTTTTGATCCTGATTGCTATTTATTGGTTCTATTGTTAACTGCCATAGGCCAGCCTAAAGTTGGGAACATACAGTATATAAAATGGCTAACTAATCTTTAGATTTTTCAATATGTTTATAGAAACAGACATATTGGAAAATGGATTTGGAATGGATTTGTTATGGATTTGTAATGTATAAACAGGCATATTTATGTTTATGCCTGTTTATGCATTACAACTAAAAAGGACTACTTCCAGTAGTCTTAATGTGTTGGATTAGAGTTAGGGAGCAACTCTTAATGGTGTTTTTCATATTTCATTCAATGCAATGTAAGTCATTTTAATATGGAACATTATATTCTGCGTACCTGTACAAACTGAACATATATGTACAAATGCTGGTTCCACCCATTCAAATTTGTTTTTATGAATATTTGCTTTGAAAGCCTTTTGTTAAAAGGCAGATGATTTGTATAATCTAAAAAGAAACCATTGTATTCTTGGTAGAAAAGTGGGATACAGATATTTAACAGAAAAAAAGTATTTTCTGTGACTGCAAGCACAGATTTTTGAAATCTGAAATACGCACATATGAATACATTTATATATACAAAAGGAATATATTAAATGTTATGGTATAGTTGTGGGCAAATTCTGAATTACTTTGGGTTACTTAGGCTACATCTAGGGCACGATCCATATAAAGTGACTCAACATAATTGGGAAATTATGAATAATTCAGAACTTTGATGTGCTTTGGAAAAGCAAACACTGTATCTATAAAAAATGTTATATTGTTTTCACTCCTCTCCAAAATGATAGAATGGGGAGAATAAGACCATACAAAACTTCAAGTGTAGCATCTCCTCAGATCAGCTCTGCAAAATGCTGCAGAGCTTTGTTTCTGACTGGCTCAATAGAGAGGCTACAGTGCTTCACTTCACACGGCCAACACAACTTCCACGTATGCACAGAAACCACTACCTTCAGTCAGTTGTCTCAGTATATTCCAACTCGCAAAGCATGCTAATCTTACTATCTCTACCACATTACACAGAATATATTTCTTCCATTGTGTGAATTATGGCACCAACACCAAGCATGCCAACTTTACACACTCTCTGCAGAAAAGTGGAATTAAACAATTAAGTAAATGAGAAATTCTCTTCTTATTATAAGGAACTTTCCAAATGCAATACTTTGGAGGATTTCTTGACCTATAAAAACAGGGATCTACTAAAAAGAGGACACTGAATCCCCGCTGAAAAATATTAGTTTAGTCCAAATAGACATTGGAGGATTTTAGGAACCAAATCAAAATAACTGTGATAAATGAACATTAACTATTTTGTGATTTTAGTAACCATACCCAAATCAGAATACTTGTTGGACTGATGTTCTTCACAGTAAATGTTATTTAATTACATCCAAGAACAATAACAACCCTCAATTTTTCAGGTTTCACAATATCATCAGTTTTCATCAATTAAATATTTAACTAATTCTCTTTCTTCCCAACTTCAAAAAGGCCCTAGTTGCACACAAATGCTTGAGCCTCCCTGTGAAATCTGGTAAGGTTTATTTCCATTGTGTCTTGAAAATTGTGTAGCCCTTTCTTGAACAGGGGAGTTACAGATACTGTACTTTTTAAAAGGTAGAACTGTAGGTCCAAATTCCTTGGGTTGGTTTTTTTTCCCCTTTCTTTCCCTTTTCTTTCTTTCTTTTTTTTTTTTGGTGCCTTTGAGTCAGTTTTTGACTCCTGGCGATTGCCTGGACAAGTCCCTGCAGTTTTCTTGGCATGGTTTTTCAGAAGTGGTTTGCCCTTGCCGCCTTCTTCCTAGGGCTGAAAGACTGACTGGCCTAGGGCCACCCAGCTAGAACTCACGATCTCCCGGTTTCTAGTCTGATGCCTTAACCACTACACCAGACTGGCTCTCTTTATTGAAATATAAAGAGAGCTATAGTGTTTCCCCATGTTAATCCATAGGAGATATGATTCTTGCTTTGCACTGGGTCCTGAGCTGAAGCAGACAACTTCTGATACAAACTGGACTAGTCTCCAAAGCACCAAACCTGGACCCAAACTGAATCTATGGTCAATGTGCATGCTGAAAGCAACAATAATAAGTTTTATTGAATAAATAGTAATGTTGGACAATGAACACTTTGTACTGTACTTCAGATTATGATACACAGTGAAATAAATTTACAAAGGCAAAAAAAGTATGGCATATAAGTAGCCTTAGACTTCAAGCTGTTTAAAGCTTGAAATTATTTTTTAGAATTAATAGTATATAAAAATAGATCAGAGTGATTAGGTTCTGTAGTTTAAAGGAGACTTTGGATTGGGGTATAATTTCTGCACAATTCTACAATGATTGGCCTGCCCCAGATCCTAAGCAATATATACAATATAACATTTTTGTTGTTCTGACTATTCAACTGTATTTTTGTTTGCAACCTGAGAGTTTTGAGCAGCAGCAACAGCAGCAGGAGGAGGAGGAGGAGAAAGAGAAGAACTAGTGGTGGTGGTAGAGAAAAAAGCAGCAACAGCTCCATCCTCTATATCCTTTGGAAGTCAATATAACATTAATAAATCTGAGAAAGAGTTGATTGCAAGGCAGTGCCTTACACCCCAACTCCAATGTTAATTAGTGAGGCTTATTATTTAATAAGGCCTTTGAAATGTATGCAGGGGTTAATCCCAGACAGTATAGCTGCCTTCACTACATTCTGAATAGCAGCTTTTATTTTATTTTTAAAGATCCAAATAAATTTGGCTGAAAAGCCATGCCTTGGGATCCTACTACAGGATATTAGTGGCATAAAAACTATATTTAATAGCAACTATAAGCAAAGAATCATCAGTGATAGCGTGCACCATCTCTATGTTCTACAATTTTATTGTGGTAGTGTCTGGAAAACTGATACATTTAATGGATAAGACCTTAACATTATCACTCTTCATTATAATGATTTGCACATAATTACATGTGGGTTTAAGCCTTACCAATTGCAAAGATGGAGACAACAGACTGGGCTTGTGATCATTCTTGTACAGATTGACAAGGACTTGTGCTACAGCATCTATTCCGTGTGACACCTTCCCTACTGTCATCTAATATTTAACAAGGCATAAAGAATGGGAGAGGAAAGAGAAAAGATGGAAAATGAAGAGATCTCGCTTTCAAAATTACAGTTTAAGGAAAATTAAAACAAAGAAACATAGCAAAGCAGAGCTGAACAAGCTTAAAGTTAAAAAAAAAAAAAGAACTTACAAAATGCCAATCTCACTACTCTTAACCTTTTCCCTTATTACATAAAAGCTAAATATTTATTTAAAAGCTAAATCTGTATTTAAATCTAAATCTCTATCTAAATCTAAAATTTGTATCATACCATATCTTGACAGTTTGCCACATTTTTTTTTTAATCTAAGGTTGTATGAATATCTTGAACAGATGAGTTGTGTGTTTATGGATACACAGAGACTGATTTTTCCCGACACAAAAGGCCAAAGAATTAAGATGGGGCTGCATTTAATTCTGCGCAACTTGCTAGATAGCAAGTTATCTTTGGCAGAATTAAAGTAAAATATTAAAATAATTATAGTAATAATATTACAGTTTTCAACACATATCCCTTTGACTTCTCAAAAATGAAGACTTTTAATAATTTGTCTTGTTAACATAATGCAAACATTTACAATTATTATACCAAATAAAAATGCAAGAAGTGTCATGTAAAGGGAGGCATTTCTGCTGAATGTGCCTAAGCATATTTTCAAAAGACATGCATTCTAAAGAAAGAGTAGTTAATAGTTAATAGCACCTGTTTTCTATTCTTTGAAGCAAATTGTGTCCTGCTGACCCAATTCATATCAATGCTTTGAATTACCAGTCATCAATTATGATGGCAGCTAATGAAACAACATACTTCTTCATCTTAAAATGATGGACATAATCTTTATTAAGAAGGATGCAAGCAGTTGAAGTTCAAATTAAGAGACTTGTCAAAATTGGGATAGTCTTGTAAAAAGTCTACATAGTCTTGTGTCAGGCCCAGCCCAAGAATGACAACGAGGCAGTCCAGTCCAGTATAGTTCCTTTATTAGCTTGCACCTAATAGACAGAAACTCACCAGAATCAACCTAAGCTAAGGCA